GAAGAACTTCCTCCTAACGTCCAATCTAAACCAATCCATTGCTAGCTTTAATCCATTCCCTCTAGTCCTATCACTACCCGACATCCTAAAAAGCCCCTCACCAGCTTTCTTGTAGGCCCCCTTGAGATACTGGAAGGCCACAATAAGGTCTCCTTGGAGCCTTCTTTTCTGCAGACTGAACAACCCCAACTCTCTCAGTCTGTCTTCATAGGAGAGGTGCCCCAGCCCTCTGATCATCCTTGTGGCCCTTCTCTGGACACGCTCCAGCACGTCCATATCTTTCTTGTGCTGCGGGCTCCAGAACTGGACATGGTACTCCAGGTGGGGTCATTGTGTGATAGCACAGTGGCTCCGGGATACTCAAAGCAAGAGCCAAAGCATGTAACAAGTGACAGGGCAAGAGGAAATGGGCTCAAGTTGCACCAAGGGAAGTTTAGACTGGATATTGGGAAGAATTTCTTTACTGAAAGGGTTATCAGGCACTGAGGATTTGTCAGTGTCAGGTTAATGTCTTAAAGGTCTTTGCCAATCTGGGAAAATCTGTTATTTCTGTGAAAGCACCATACCTCTTCCGCTATGAGCAGGGAGGGGATAATGCCAGTCTGAATCCAGATTTCCTGAGTCTGTGGTCACACTTATGATGACTTTGGGCAGGAAAGAGGGGCTGAGTGTGGTAGAGTGCATTTCTGAGCTCATGGGCATTTGTTTGAGTGTTCAGGACATGGAAGTACTCAGCATAGTTGAATGAACATAATGATTTAGTTGGGGTGGGTTAGAGTGAATAGGTAGAACATAAGATAAAGTTGAATGAATGAATAAGTTATTGTATTTGAATAGCTATCAAGCCTTATATCTCTGCCTATCAAACATCTGACTATCTTTTTTTGAGAATTAACTATTTTCTTCTACCAAGGGTTGGCAAATGGGTCCAAATAGAGAAGTATTAAAGGGGATTTCAGAAGGAATATAGGGTAGATAAGAGCTTGAGAATAATGACAGTCCCTCTATCCCACTGCTTATTCTCAGCAGGACCTGCCTTCTGATGCTTCCTCTTGGAGCAGGTTCAGTGCTGGTCGTTCAAACAGATCAGTAGGAAAGCGTGTCTTTGGGATTAAGGTCACAGCCAGAACAGGCAGCACCATGGAGACACGTTGATCACAGAGGCTTTCTGATAGAAAGAGAGGAAAGGACGCTGAGGTGACAGATAGCAGCCTTGTCAGCACCTGCTGTGCCATACCTGAAGCGCAGCCTCTCCTGCAGTGACTCCTGTGTTAGAAGACCCTCTGAAGCAGATGGGGCCTGTGGCCATAACAGTGGCTGACCACAAAGCCAGACCTCTGGATCAGCCTCAGCAAGAGGTGATGAATGAAGGCTGTGTGCATGGCCTGCGCCCGCAGCGCTATGTATTTAGAGCATCTTTAACAATGCCACGTGTGTGCCAAGTCCTGGGAGTAGGCTGGGTTGGTTTATTACCTAGGCGAGGGTGTGCATTTACACGCTTGATGTCTCCCATTTAGCTGCCTCATAGGATCAAAATGTAGTGTGCATTTAATTTCTGGTCCTGGTTTCAACTGGCTGAGGGTCCTGTCACCTTTTGCTTTGAATAGAATAACTGCCAGCTCTTAGGTACGGTTTCTACCCCTTAAAAATACTTTGAACACTCACAGAATTTCATGCCATTTCTAGAAATAGAGAACAGCATGTAGGAGCTGAAGAAACCTTCCCCAGGTTATTGTTAGCACTGAGTGGGAGCAGAGTCTGGCTCTGACGATAGCTCCCACTTTCGTCTATTGTCATGTCTGTGGAGGCAATAGCTCCAAATGACATAATACTGAGAGGAAGAAAGAAATCTCCTTTTTTCCCAGGGTAAGGTTTTAATAATAGGAAACACCAGTCCTGAAGACTTTACATTGAAGTTTATTGTGTATATAAATTATATAATCAGACAAGAGAATGACACTATATCTTCAACAACCGTCTTCTGCTTTTTAAAAACAAAAAATTATTGGAAAAAGAATTAACAAAGACCTGCTAGTGTCATATAAAACAGTCTATAACCCACAGGAGCTGTGTGGCTCTGCAGAAGAAGTGATCACAGTATTATGTAGCAGTATAAAAAATTGAGCAAACAGAGCTCTTGGGAGCTTCATATTTCTGAGGAGAGACATATGTCAAAGCTGCATTTCTGATCCTGAAGAATTTTTTGCAGGCACTCTGTAAAGCAATGACAGTTCTTGGCCATTGTTTCTAGCTTTTTCTACCCTTAGTTTTCAGTGATAAAGTTAGTCCTGGAGAAGAGGTTACGCCAAGCATGGGAGACACTTTGCTTCAACCCCCTTACAGCACTCTCTTTGATTTCTGGGGAGAAAAGTCTCCTAATATTAGTGGCAGAGCCAAGATCTCAGTACCTAGTTGGGGGTGATTTCTCTCACAAGGAGTGGGGAAGGTGGATTAGTTCAGAGTGAGGGAAGGCATGAGGAGAAGGCTAAGGTCCTGATCTTTCACATGGCAAATAAGCCCATGGCAACTGTGGTGGCTAGGAAGCTGATTGCCAGGATCCACCGCACCAGGGGACTGATGGACATTGTATCTGTGTGTCTCGTCTTTGTCCTCTCACTTTCTTTCCCAGGCGCTGAATCTAGATCAAATGGGGGGAAAAAAAAATGTAGGTGAGAAGAGGTTGAAGAAAGAAGTTGCTGTTATGCTATGCTTGGTCTCCCCAGTGCTGGAGCAGACCCTGCTGGAGTTGCCAGGGGGAGAAGGAGGAAGCCCAGAGCCCAGCTGGGCTGGGGGAAATGGCAGCAGCAGGTTCTGCTCTTCTGGGTTAGGTGAAGAAAGGAAGCAATAGACTTAACCCTGGAATCGCAAAAGCTCACAACCTCTCTGCCTGTACGTGAGTACTGGCCTCTTCCCTTGTCTCCTTACAGGCTTATAAATGAACTGCCCAGCTCCGTCAAACCCACAATGTGTGTTGTGCAGAAGACAGCTGAATGCTTAAGCCAGAATTTTAAAAGGCATTTTGTTTCCTACTTCGCATCGATTTAATTGGTTAGGCATCTAATGACCTTAAACAGGTAGTCCTTAGCACTCCAGTCAGATAATTTTCCCAGTACAACTTCAGCATGGGATTCCTCATCCAACACTAAACTTTTCTGAAAATCCTACTTTTATGAGTGTGTCTTGAGAAAGGAGCAACCAAGTTGCACAATGAACTTTTACTGCCTTTCCCAAAGAAGTCACTTTAAGCTTCATTGTCTAGAGATGTGCAAGATGAGGTTTCCTTTTCAGTCTTTGGCCTGGGAAAACTGTGATTCAATCCAGTATGCACTGAGAAAATCTCCCTTTAAGTTTTAGAGTGGGTAGGTCATGAGGGCTTTTTTATTTGAATCACAAATTATCAGGGAAACCATTCTCCTCCTCTACAAACATCTGAGCCCACTTCTCACTTTGTTACAAGCCTGACTCCATGGAAAAGGACTGCTCTGCTTGCAGCTGCTGCTCGGGCTTTGTCCTGTTCAGGATTGGCACTTGCCCAGTAGTGAAGCTTTTTCAGTGCTGCAAAACTGATGGGCAGCCTGTACATCCATCCCCACTTTCCCAGCTGGGTACATTTCACCATCCTGAACAGTGCTCACTATAAACCCTGCGCAGTTTCAGGAGTGTTTTCAGTAAATACTTCTGGAAGGCGTGGAAATGACCCGAGGGAGATTTTAGTCTGAAAGGACAGGCTGCTGGATAAGGCTATTTGTCTGGATGAATCTGCTATCAGCATCACAGCACCAGAGCTGATCCGCTGGGCCCAAAATTGCCTCCTTCTCTTCTCAAGGCCAGTTTTCCCTGTGGTTGAAACTCATATGGTGAGTGAACCTTACATGTGTTAGAACCTAAAAGGAGGAGAGGGAAGTCTCTATCTTCTAAAGCTCCCCCATTGACACTGTTTCTGGAGAGCCCACATTTGTCATCCTTGCTCAGTCACATCTAAGAAGCTTCACGTACACCAGTGCCTCTCCTTGTACTACCTGCTGATGGCTGGGGGAGAGATGGGGCAAGCGCCTCATGTTCACTGCTCAGTGGCTTTTACAAACAAGAAGAGAGGAAGGAAGGACGGAGAACAAAACCACAAGGGGCGATGTTAAACACCTGCCCTTAGAAGTGTCTTACCGTGCTCGTATGATTTGTTAATGCTCCTTGTGCGAAGCTCTGCCTTCGGCTGCACAGGGCGACCATTCTGCTGGCCCTTAGATACCAACTCCTGCAGCGCCTCAAACACCTGAGAAGAGGGAACACTGTCTCATTACATGGCTTCATCTTCTTCTTTCACTGGACCCCCTGTCCCTGCCCCCGGCACTTCATGAACTAGAGGAAGACACAAGCTTTCAGTCCAAGTTTTGTGGCACTTTTTGCATAGAACATAATCTACCTGTGGGGTCAAGAGCATGTCTTTCAAACTCCTTGTTCACTTTACAGGTTGTCCCAGAAGCCTCCAGATCAGGAGAAGGTCATTGACCGTCTCCTGATGGGAAGGAAAATGAGATAGCTGTGCATCTAGTCAGCTTCCACAGAGGACCTGTGGATCTGTCCTATCGAAGTAGGACAGGTAGGTGGTGATCCCCATTCCCAGTATAAGCCCTCATACATATCTGAATAACGGCACGTGGAAGAGACTGAATTCAAACCCTAGGGCAGGGAGAAGAGCTTTTCAGATGTGAGCCTTTTACTAGGTTTCCTGGTTGGACAAGTGCAGCCATCCAACTCTGGCCAGCTTGCCCTAATCCACAACTTCCCATAAGCTCCACAGCAGAAAGACTGGTTTTGCCTTTACCCTGTAGCTATTATCTTGTTTCACAGAGGGCGTGGGCAGGCAGGGCTGGATGGGTGTTACTCACCTGTATTTCTCTCTTGGCCTCCTCCAAGACTCTTTTCTTAGTGGCAAGATTCATCTCGAGGGCATTCATGCGGGAGCGATAGAGCTGCTTGAACTTGGTGGCGTTGGAGACTCCATCAAAGGTGAAGAAAGCCAGGCCTTCTCCAGTGCTGGGCAGCTGGAGGGCTTTTTGGGCAATTTTCTTCAGCACCTGCCCCCCAGACAGGTCTCCCAAATACCGAGTGTAGGCATGGGCCACCAGGAGCTCTGGGTGGTTCTGGCCTACGTAGTGGAGCCTCTCAACATATTTCTGAGTAGCCTCAGGACATGGGATCTCTTTCCTCCAATTGCTGCCGTAGAAGTACTCCAAGTCTTTCTCCAGGGCAGCTTTTCGGTGCAGCTCCACTGGAAAATACACAGGCGAAAAAACTGGGTTGTCCTTGTTACGTTCAATCTCTTCCTCCAGAGCAGAGTAGATGAAGTACAAGGATGCCGTAACCAGCTGAAAGAGAAGGAAGAGGATGAGGTACATCTGTCTGTCTTCTTCAGGTTTTGGGGACAAATCCTACCAATGAAAAAATTACTCGTGGGCACACCCAGTGTGAGTCACGCACATCGGTGATGTTGCAGGTTTCCCATGTGGAAAACAGAGTTGCAGGGTGCAGTGAGACACCTTTGGCCCTTCCCCTTCTGCTTGAGGCAGCCTTGGGTAAGACTTAAGCCCCTTCCAGCAGATATTGGTCTTACTTGCCCTTAAAAACTGCTGCCTTTACCTCAGAGTTAAAGGTCTTGCAGCCTGATGTAATGGAAACTGGAACCCTCTTAAATCATGCCTGGTCTATTCTCCTCATTCCCTCGGTCAATAGAGAGGATATTCCCAAAGGTATATTTTCTGGTATATTGTTCAAATCTGAATGATTCAAGCTGTGGCTTCCCTTTGTGGGACCCTTGTGGGACAACGACACACCCTGTTTATTTTTCAATACATTCATCCTGTTGGCATCCCACCACCCTGGGAACTGAGGCACCACCACTCTCCTCATTTAGACTTGCAAGTGGGGTTGCCTCCTTGGTTGCCCCCAGGAGAGAAGACAAAAGGGGGCTGGAATCACAGCCTGCCTCTGAAAGATGCCTTTGTGAAGGAGCACTGCAAGGCTGAGTGTTCTCCTCTCTATTTTGAAACCATTGTTGTTGTTTTTCCCATCTAACGCGATGCTTTCTTCTATCTGCCAGCTTTTCCACGTGGCGTAAGACAATCTAGCTGTGTTCTTTCCTTCCCCAGGCATTCTGTTTCCAGAGGCTGTATTCGTATTTGCACTTACACCACCCTTTTCTTACACTGGAATCCCATATCAGCAGCAAAGAGTAAGACATGAAGGTATTGCAGTACAGGTGAGTCAGGCTGGGGTGGGAGAGATTATGCTGATGACAGGAGAAAAAGCATTTTACCACGAAACAATCGGTTTGCACTAAAAGAGTTGCCGTTTCAACTTTTCCCCACTGTGCCCGCAAATAGGACTTTGATAAGCACACAGGCAGGTGCTTTGTTGTGGAAACAAATATTCAGATTCTAGGGAGTCACGTGTCAGGGCAGATATATAGGTTTGCCAAGAGAGTAAACAAAAATAGAGTTTTTAAACAATAACCTGTTATCCAGCTTACTGGAAAAGAAACAAAATACGGAAACATTGCCTAACAAATTAAGAAAATATAACCTGACAGATTGTTTTCACAGCCAGGTAGTTGTTTAACGGGAGACACAGCTTTTGAAAACTATAGTTACTTTTTAAAACCCATGTCATGTCTCACTCTCCTTGACAGCACATAAATATCTTCTAAGAAACTGAGCTGTATTCCTGCAGGGCTGACTTTGTGTGTTAGTGCCAGCCTGTCTCAAAGTTCAGTGCCTAACCAATGCTGCATTTCTAACAGCAGGAAGTCAGCACCTGAGATTAAATTTCTGCTTGACTAAGTATCCTGAGTGTGACCTGTCAGAAAAAAGGAGTCTTTTTCCTACTTTTGTGGATTTATTTGCCAAGGAACAATTCAACAACAAAGTCATTAAACCACAGATTGGATCGCTAGCTGTTATTTTCAAGCCCATGCGTCACATCCTATAGCCTCCAAAGAATTCCCAGCCCAGGTGTGTGCTTTGGTTTTGCTCATGGCTTTGTTATGTGGCTCAGATCCCAGGAATCACATATCTAGCCAGGTTACACACAGACTAATATCTGCAAATGATTCTCTTTTATCTTAGGAAAAGCAACAGGCTTCTACCTGTTAGCTGCAGGCATGGCTTGCTCAAACTCAATCTGCTTGGAGTTATTGTTCATGATCCCAGCTCTGGTGTAATCTAAGTGACAACTAAAACATTGCAAAGTTAGAGCCAGAGATGATCCCACAGCCTCACTTTCTCACCATCCCATCATTGTTTCTAACTGCAGCCGCTTAATGTTGTAAATTTAGTATTCTCCCTCTTTTTGGCATTTCAGCCACTCATAGCTGCACGTAGTCACACCTCCATTAACCATCACTGCAAATAATTAACATGCAGGCATTTATGAAGAAAGAGAAGAGCAACTGCATTAATCCCATCAACCTCTTTGTCTTTTTATCCTGTTTCAGCTTGGCTGCTGCCCACCCTGATGTGCACAGTCCTGCCCTGCCTTCTGCAAGAGAAGCTGCTAATATCTTAGGGTGCTGGAGTTTGATCAAGAGCATGTTTTGCATGGGAGGTGCTGATACCAGGCATCTGTAATGCAAAGGACTTCCTCCCTTGCGTTGTTCCCGTCCTCTCCCCTCAGCCCCTCAGCTCTTACAGTGTATCTCTTGGTGAGGAAATCCCATCCCCAAGCAAGGCTGCTACAAAGTACCTTAAACTCGTAGAGTGACACCTGCCCCTTCTGGAAATTCTTCATGAAAGGTGTGTTCTCTGCCTGCTCGTGCACCTCCTTGGTGGCTTCCTTCAGGAGCTCTGACAGGTCGTTGGACATGCTGGGGAAAAGCGGCAAAACAGATGTCAGAGCTGTCCCTCTCCGCTGGCAAAACGGATCTTAGCTCTCCAGAAAGAAAGGGGGAGCCTGGGACGGCAGGAAAAGGCGCAGAGCATTCCGAGAGCTGCGGATGGGAAAGGGGGAGCAGCAACATCCGAAATGCTGTCCTGAGCAAGGCAGACGACAGACTCCATCCAGAGGTGAGAGCTGGAGCTTGCCGTTCGCTGCAGAGCAGGAACAGGAGCAGCATGCCTAAAAGCAAGGGGAGAAACGCAATACTCCCCTGGTGAAAAATTTCCCTTTCGCTCCCATCCCGCTCTCACCTTTCGGAGCTGTGTGTCTGGGAAGTTTCCATGTTTCTCTACGTCGTTTCACGCCTCTGCCTCCCTGTTGTTGGTCTGTTTGTTTTTTCCCCTTGCTCGTTCTTTCCTCCTTCCCTTCTGCTCTCAGGACGGTGAAACTCTGAGCTGGGCAACCCGGCTCTTCCATCCAAGCTTTATAGCGCCAGGCCACGTGAGCAGCCAAACCGCTGACCTCAGTGTGCAAATTTCTTGCAACACAACTGCACTTCCCTTCCCAGCCTGGCTGGTCACCCTCTCCTCCCCTGCAGCCCCCAAGGGGACTAGAAGGAAGTCACCTGATGCATCTTGATAACTCAGCACAAATGAGAGGATATCCAGCAACTTCTCCTTCAAGAGTTGTCGGCTCTCTAACCCTTTCAGTGCATCGCCCACGGCAAGCTGAGCACGGATGCTTGCAAGAGGTTCTCGCTGTGCTGGGGGCACCAGGGTTGGACAAGGAGGGGTGGATTTAGAGGGCTAGTGCCTGGGGCAGGGTGGGCAGCCTTTTCTCCCTGCATTCCAGTCTGTACCCTGGCCAGGGAGCTACTACAGCACCTGCCTTTATCTGCTGTAGCACGACTCGGGTATAAACGCCTTCTCTCCCACAGCAGTGTGCATCTTCAGAGAGTCCTTCACATAGGATGGTGCTTGTGGGCCATGGAGTGGGGACCTCAGCGCTACACGTTAGGAGCGTACCCCAGTGCGGCAGGGAGCACAGCAGGGACCCTAGGGCATGTACCAGTTGTGGACACCTGGGATAATCTGGCAGCCTTGAGCATATACATGTACCAGTCCTGGTCTGCAAGCATCAGAACTGTCTTTGCACAGTGCTGGGCACTGGGGAATAAATCCTGTTGCTTTGTGCAGAGCCAGCACAGGTGTGCCAGTGCTGATGCACAGTGAATTCCCTTTCACACTCTCTCGTACGTGGAAAAAATACCATCCGACTCGTGTGGCAACTGGCTCTGGGGTTACCACAGCCCTGTGCAGGGCAGTTTAGAATAGCACTCCGGGCAGTTTGGGAGAACAGCACTCCAGCTCATACATACCCAGAACACTGGGGAAGCTCATAGACTGAAAAGACTTGGGGGAAATTGAGGAAGCCTGGAGAGGCTTTCAGAGGCAAATAATTTCTCTGATTTGGGAAAAGTGAGTTGGACAAGGTGCTTCTGCTAGTCACTGGCTGCTCTGCTGTTATGTCTGGTGAAGTGGTCAGTGAGGCAGCTGAGAGGTGAAGCGCGGCCCCTCTTTTCCAACTGTAGCTGTGCTGGGAGTAGGGCTAGCTGGGACAGACCAGGAATTGCCCAGCTATACTCCAGACAAGCACACATTCTGTGCTCAGCCCAAAGAGCAGGGTGCTTAATGCCACCATTGCCCCACTGGTGTGGGTGTGAGAAAGCCCCGTGTTGCGATTGTGTGCGGGGTGGTAGGGAGGCAGAGCCCAGAGAGGAGGGAGGAAGGACTGTGGCATCTGTCTGTCCCCTCCAGCAAATCCACTCTGTGGCTTTGCTGGTGGATGCTGCTGTCCAAGCCGAGTGCCTCACCTGTCTCCCTGTGACTGCACCACACCTGGCCACAGCTGTGTTTGGTGCTGTAGGTTAGAAAGCCGTCCTGCAGGAAATATGCTTCCACACTTGGTTTTTTTTTGGCTTGGGAGGACATCTGGCTTGGGGTGCAGCCTTCAGTAAAGATTACTCAGCATTTCCACGCTGACTCAGCCAGACTTTTTCCTCTCTTGCTTTTGTCTTTTAAAGCAACAGTGCATGCTAGCAAAAGCTATCACGTTTCACTCCTACCCCCATGCCTTTGCAGACAACTTGCTGCTGGCTTGCTTGTTTTTCTGTAAGGTACAGTAAATGTATCAGGATGTCTGAATCTTTGAAGCAAGTGTGACACATCCCAAACATCTGCTGAGAGAGGGCTCCTGTGCAGAGCCCATGGGAGCACAGGGCTGCGTGGCCGGTCCATCCTGAAGATACCGATGCCATTTTGCTACAGGGATGGCTACAAAATAAATATTGCCCTCTGGCATTGCTCCTTAAAAGTCATGTGAAGTTTTCCATCCTTTTCAGCAGGTCCTGTTCTGGCACGGGAACCTGGAGCACAGATTGAACCTGTAGTTCTGGGGAAGGTAAGTGGGAAATATATGAGAATATGAAAATTAATAATATTATTAATCTTATGAATGTGAAATAAAATGAAAAAAAATCAAAACCCCAAGCTCTGCTCCTCCTTTCACCTCTGTTCTGCAGCTCTAGTAATGCAGCCAGTTTGTCCCCGAGGACTTTCCAATTGCTTTCAGGCCAGTGCTTTTGTCCCCTGCCTGTCTGCCTTCTTCCAAGAGACTGCATTGCTTGGAGGCACTCAAAAGGATATATCCTTCCTTTTCATCCAGGGTTAAGGTAGCTATAGATGTGAGACTGGAGGGAAGGTTGTCTGGTCATGTCACTGCCATGCCAGGTAGGATAGTTCTCCCCAGGGAGAAGACCTGGCTCACAGCCGCACTGCCCCAGGACATGGGGTCAGTGTAGGTCGTTCAGAATCTTGGGGCTTGACCTTGTCCTGGGCTGGTCACAAGAAAAGGTCCCTACTGCAGCTCACCTCCACTGTGAGCTTTTCCATAGGTACAAGCAAGCAAGCTCTGCCCCAAAACTGATTTATGCCATCTGGTCTCTAGCCAACCAGGGTTACTTGGGATAGAACATCTGTGAGACTGGGCCGAGTTCTCCGGAAAGGCCCAAACGCCCTGCAGCAAAATGGAAGGAGAACTGAAAGTAGGGTGTCATCATCTTCGCAGTCATTGGCCTGGGGCATTTCTGACCCCCTTTGGTGCTCTGCAGCGAGGACTTGTATTGCTTCTGCCGTGCTGTTGCTATGCAGCCTGGGGAGGTTAATGACACCAAGCATGCCAGGGTGGTGGCAGAGATCTGCAAGGGACCATCTCTTCCTGGAAGAGAACTTGGAAAGTTGACGCTTGAGAGCCATACACATGAGGGGAATGATGTGCGTGCTTTTAGTGGAAAGAACAAACTGGCCCCCAGAGCAGCTCACTGTGGGCACAGTTAGACTCAGGACAGCGGAGGCCAGCCCTCATCCAGGTCACTAGGGGTGTCTGTTTGGACCTCATCAAAGTGTCCAACCTGTGGTCTCCACTACACCTGCCAGAATTCCTGTCGTCTCCTACTCTTCCAGCGAACGGTGGCTGGGTGGTGCCAGAGCTGCTCACTGTGAGGGTGATGTTCATGGGCACCGGTGAAACTGCACAGGAGATTTCTAGCAAAAATTAATCAAGTAGCCTCAGGCAAGATATTTGTAATAGTTCCTACCTCCATCTGGACACAACAGCCCATGAAAAAATCCTTAGTCAAGAGATAGGTTAGATGAGTGGTTAACAACAGCAGAAAGTTATTGAGGGGTTGGTGTTTTCATCAGGGATAGGGAAGTGGGGAATTTTCTCCCCTTATACACTTAACAGCCTGTTTTGCTAATAGTTTTATGGTCAAAAATATCTAGGTACCCAGGCAGTCATGGAGCATCAAATCAGCCCTTCTGAACCCATGTGGGAAGGGCTGTTTCATGCTGAGATCTGGCAGGCTCAGCTCAGCGGGGGAGGCACCACCCTGTAAAAACCAGCCTTCCTCAGCTCCATGGGGTTAATGGGCTTTCTTGGACCGTGACACAGCAAAATGCAGCTGCCTGGTTTGCATCCAGAAAGCTGACTCAGTAGCCAAGACTTGCTGTGTAATAGCCGAGGGGAGAAAAAACCCAAAAGTTACAGTCCCCATGTGTTGCCTGATCTAGTTGAGAGGCGTCCCTGCCCACGACAGGGAGGTCGGATTAAATGATCTCTGAGGTCCCTTCCAGCCTAGGCCATTCTATGATTCTATGATAACCACTTTTAAAATAAGCAGGGAGTGAGTGCTGGAGTATACAGGGATACTGTGTGGGTTAATTCGTGTTTACCAAAGTGAGATTGTCCAGCCCAGCCCACCCTGACAGAACTGACTGTGCTCGATGCCCTCGGCACTGAACAATCCAAGTCTAGATCAAAGATAGAGGTGGAAAAAAAGAGGTCAGGAGTGCAATGAACTGGAAATCTCAATGGGGAATGCATGTGCTGCAGCTGTTCTCCCTCTGGACTGGCACCGCTGCTACCTTTGGGATGGACACGGCTGTGCTGGGCAAACCCCACACATGAGAACCTCAGAGACCGACGTGGTGCAAGGCAAGAGTTGCAGGCAGATTTCTCAGACATCACCGAATCCGCATGATAAAAATAGGATTTGTGGATTATGATACATATTTTTATAGCTGTATGGATATATGCATGGGTGTCTCCAGCACACGGGTACAAGCAAGGAGAGAGCTCTGAGCTGCTGGGAATCAAGCAGGAGAGAGGAGGGAGAACAGAGCAAACAACCTGCAAGGCACATGCCTGCTCTGTTACCGTGGAGTGGGGGTCAGGCAGCGACCTGAAGCAGGAAACAAGTCTCCAGGTTAGGGGTACACTGGGCTGAAATTTTGTGGGAGGGTGCATAGAGCCCACCATGCTCCTTAGCCTTGGTGTTGGTGGGGATGGACCCTGTGCCTTGCTGGGGATTTGCTTTGAGAGCAAGAGGGAAGTGTGGAAAGGGGCAGGACAGAGTTAGTAAATAAAAATCCCATTTGTGCAAATATTTCAGTCCATGCTGCCTCCTTTGTTTAGCGCTGCAACCATGTAAAACAATGCATGCCCTGATTGCGAGACAGGACAAACTGTGAAAGTCTGAAACTGAAAATCATACATACACAACAAACAGGACCTTGGACCACAGCTCACACCCCTTTCTCAGGGAATGGGAGGAAATGGAGCTGGAAACCAACTTTTGCAAAGAGAGTGAAACCCAGCGCATCCCCCGCCAATGTTTCTAAACCCTGGGGGGACAGTACACATGTATCCTCCTCCTGCAGCTGAGGGGCTGCTGGCAGCCGGGCCTGTTTCTGGAGATTTCTCCGATTGTCCCGAGAAGCGGGACTGGGGCCAAGAGCAGCAGCTGCAATCTCAGGGCGGCGCG